CAGCGGTTCAGAATCTGTGAGAGCCATTGGAACGTGAAGAGATGCTGCAGCGGATTCACAGCCAAGGGATTGCCCTCTCCTTGCTGTTGGACTCGATCCGGCTCAGGATTGAAGGCAGTGACGTGGAAGCTCCAGACACGGGCGAACTCTTTGCGCACATGCTCATTTTCCAAGTCAACGCCGGGCGCGCCATCCATCCAGTATAGGCCATGGCAATGGCTACTTCCACGACCCTGCCACTCATACCTGTTCCAAAAGTCAGTGACATTAAATTTCTGCTTGAGAACGATATCTTTGAATAAACCAAACCGCCTGTAGAAGTGCCAGGCTGCAATGTGTGGGTTGTCCCTGAGAAGTTTGCTAGACATGCCCATTCGTTGTTGCTCGGGCAATTCTTGCCAGTCCTGAAACTGGGGCAAATGCTGATAGAGGCTCCGCCAGTGTAAGTCTGCCGGGCTGAATGTAATAAAAGCACCCGGACAGCGAAGGTTGTAGGCGTAAGACTCGAGCTCTCGGCGCTTTCGGTACCAATACGGGCGCGTCCCACGAAGCTGTGCTGTCTGGCGGTTGATAGAGTTGAGCAAATGCTGGGCTTCTGCAGATTCAGGGTTCTGGAAAGCCTCGAGTAGATCCTCTCGCGTGAGTGGACCCTGCCTTTGTTGGTGTTGCTTGACGAAATAGCCGCTCTTTGCCCGTGCCTGTGCTCGCATCAGCGTGTTGAAAGCCACAAACCGAAATGTGGGGTGACGGGCAAATCTGCCGTCATGCCATCGCAGGGCATGCTGTATGTAGTCGGCATATTTGATAGGCCGTAACCTTGGCTCAATGAAATCAGCCTGACCGCAAGGAAATAGAGTTGGAAAGGCTAGGGACAGAAGTGCCTGTGACTGGTTGAATTCGTTTATCGGTGTTCTCCGAATATCTGGCATTTCAAGCTGATGTTGTGTCGCTAGTCGTGCCGGGAGCGGTGCGTCGCTCTCTTCGCCAAGAACGTGCGAATGCAATGCTTCCATCTCGGTATCCTCTGGTAGTAGATCTGGCACTGCAGACTGGTCAACCTCATCAGCCTCAATGTCGGTATTCTCGACATCACCCAAATTGGCTGAAAGAGGATCGTTGACTTCCACAGTAGCAACCTGGTCAAGTACATCGCCATCTTCGGGCAGCGCTGACATCCGGTTCGGGCAGACAGTAATATCTCGGTAGCCCGGGTGGTTATTCGACAGGAAGTCCAGCCACTGCTGAAGACAACGACGGCGTACGCGGAATTGGCGTCTGAATTGGCGGTTAAGGTGGGCATGTTCACCCGCATTCGGAGGACGCAGCAGGATAACATCTAATTCGGCCGGTAACAGGGGAAGTTGTCGATACACCTTGCCAACATCGCGGAGAAAGTGTACAATATGGCCACGATATTTGTATTGCTGCCCTCGAACCTGCATTACGTTCACGAACACATGAACTGGAGCGATTAGCATCTCTTCCACTTGCGTCAATTGGGGGAGGAACGCGGGAGTTGAGCCAAAGTCCAACTGATTTTCGGCTGAAAAGAACCCTGGCTCGTCTTCCTTTTTGTTCTTGTCCTTGGCAATGCAGCGCTTGCAAACACCATTCTTCAACCCCATATCAAACCATGTCTCCTGACAGCGGGCGCAATGTTCCATTCGGTCGTTTTCCAGCTCCGTCCAAAACTTCTCCAGGAGCTCCCTATCTCTATCGGACACCGGGCAATGCGACTGATCTCCCATCCAGTCAGGATCCGGAAGCTCGAAATCTTGACCTTCCATGACCGGGTGGTCCTTGGCCGACTGCTGCACAGATGGACGGGAGTATCTTCCCCGGGCCGGTCTCGGCCAAATCGAAGGACTCGATACCGGAGATGCGATGGGCGTTCCAAGTCGTACGCTTTGAGATGCAATCGAGGAACCTGGTTGGGCAATAATCGGCCCCTGCGCGAGTTGTCTTGTTGACACAGCAATTGGTGTTCCCAGAGGAATAGGTTCTTGTGAGATAATTGGTGTACCTAGTTGCAAGTTTATCACTGGCGATCCTTCTCGACGTATAGGAGATAACGCAGCTTGTTCTGCAGTACGCTTCGTGGCGAATGCGGCTTGCCGGTTCCTACAGTCGAGACAATCAACGGTAGGTCTTGCACGTAATGTGGAAGATTTTTTCTTCGATATGAACTGATCTGCCGGCTTCTCCAGCTTGCATTTCTTGCAAACATTCGTTGGAGTGATAGAATCAGCCATGAGTGCGTTGGTGGATGAGGAGAAGGAGAACTGCACTTTGGTGGCATTTGTCGTTGGCAGGCTATAAGGGGCGCGGGGACTTATTCAGGAAACCAATAAATCGAATGCATTGCAGACAAAAGAAGGAGAAGCCCTCCAGGAGAAGCTCTTGACCGTCGATGGTCAGGGGCAGGCTGTGAGACCCTCATTTGGTGGCGTTATTGCATCGGCATCAGCCGAGTCCACAACAACGGCCCGCCCCTTACACCGGAAAACGAACACAGACCTTGCACCAGGCAGACTATCATCCAATCGGCGTTGAGTGGAACCGCATGTGTCCAATGAGAGTAGAGTTTATGCATTGAAGTTATCGTCGTAATAACAGTCCTTCGGACTGAATCAGCTATTTGAGGAGGAGCGAGGTGCCATCGACCTCGAGCTGATGCAGAACAATGAAACCAGGTGGAATTCAACCTTTCTGATGATCCAACGTGCCATTCGCAAACGAGAGCAAATTGACCATTTCATCGCGTATCTCGAAACGAAGACGACAGAGCCCCGACAACGGTTGCCTGTAGAGGATCATCTTTCGCCACAGGACT